AAAAATGTTCTGTAACATCCTTTCGTCAATGCTTTGGCCCCATTGTTCAATTTCATGTTGCAAGAGGCACTCCTGACTGCTGAGACAAAGATGTTTGCGGATTCTGCTTAAGTCGTCTCAAATCATCAACAACTTCCTCTAGTCTTCCAGGAGATTACCCTCGTTACATCTCGAATGTAAGCCTCTACTTTTTTGAATTTGCAAATCAGGGTCACAGAATACAGGAACTCTTCATTTGCGAATGTCCCATTACGATAATAAGACATAAAAATGAAAGTGTCTTTTTCAACAGAATAAACCATTTTCACGATCTTCGCTTTCTAACAGAAAACCAGCATTTTCGTAAGCAAGCACGAAGAGTTTTGAAAGCAACTATTTTGTTGTTTTGAGCTTGTGTCAACCAGAATTACTGTAATTCACACTTGAAACACGTTAGAACAATAAAAACGATGACTTCAAATGACAGATTACAAATGACATTAATGATAAGTAAAAACTGTCATAATATGGCATAATTTCAGCTAAGCGGAATTTTTGAAATCCATGGCCAACTACGCCCTTAGAATAATTTATAAAAAACCTTGTATATGTGTAATGAACGCAAATAGCACCAAGACCACAATTCACGATAAATTTGAAATTAAAATTATTACTTTTCTTATATAATTTTTTATATTCTTCATCTTTAGCATCATCCCGACTTAAACACCATTTTTGAAAATATTGAGTTTGTAGAAAAGAGGCGATATAATGAAATGAGTTAATGATATTTTTTCAGAAAATCCAAATATAAAAAAATTAAATTCGTAAAAGTAGTGGCCATTTTCGGAGTGACTGTTGCGGAAATCGTTACGCAACTTTACCAAAAATTGCTAACATTAACGTATGCGAATCACTCGATCAAATTTCTTTACAAAAAAAAAGATAAAGAACATGTACCTCTTGTGACTCATATTTTTGATCATATCGCTGAACAAGGAAATTAACACTTATGGTATTATCACACTTTGAAAGTTAATAATACTGGTGATAATTTCACTACTGGAAAATACAGCTAAACACATCAAATGATTTTATGATATTCAACTTAATTGTACTAGTCTACACATCCGAACCCTCTTCATTTAACTGAGTAGTAATACAAAGTATTCGTTCCTACGCACACATTTTAAACTGATCAGTGATCACATCCTCTGAAAAACGATCTCACTTTCAATTACCAACAGGGATTGGGAGCTTATGTCTTGTTATCCAAACACTCTTCATTTTCTAACTAAGTAAATGCGAAATCTGATACTGAGACCTCAATGTCGCTTTTGCTCCGGTCTACATTCGAGCTGTGATGAAATTGTGAGGTGACATTGAGATGAGGAATTCCTCGGGTGCGAATGCGACAATTCCGGCGAAACACTCCATCGGAGAGGTGTTTCGTTTTCTAGGAATTGTGACAATATCACCAAATTTTCCCATTTGATTGCAAATACTCATACTCAGAAACAGAACGGGTAAATTTGCATTATGATGGTGATGGTTAACGTGATCATGAACGTCTACAACGGCATGGCGGTCAGTGATCAGCTGTTCCAACTTTTAACCAGATGAACAACGCACAGTTATGAAAATCCGGATGATTCCCTCGAGGACGGCAGGAAATAGACTGCAACATTTTATTTTATCCATTTGCTAAAGAAATGTGAATAACACCTAAAAAAGAGTTCGTAAATTTACCTGAAATCGTGTGTGTGTGTACGTCCACAAAACAGTAATGACAAGCTGGTGGAAATACGAGATGATCATCATTGTTCAGAGGATGTGATCCCTTTAAAATTTCTGCGTGAAAACGAGTACCTACTTAGATAATGGAAGAGTATTCGGATGAAAAGACGTAGGTACAATTGCCTCACATGTCATACTCTTTCGTTGAAAATGTTGATACTAACACAATTAAAACATTTGGGGCCGGTTTATAGAACAGCGAGTTAAATATTTAATCCTCGATTAGTTTAACAGAGAATTAATATGTGGAATATGAGCCCGTGATTGGTTAAAATATGCGCGTTGCCTCGCAACGGACCTCAGTTAAAAGTTAATCGCGAATTAACTTTAACTTCGCTTTCCATAAACCGGGTCTTAATCCAATAGCCAAATTTATGAATGCGAGACAAGTAAATTGTAAGTAAATATACAAATGTCCAAAAAAAAATTCTTCGGCCTTATACCTTGAGAACGCATAGAAATACTGAAATTCTGTGAACGCTATTGCTTTTAGATTGATGGCGGACACTTAATTTACTACAGTACAAATATGACGCATATATAGTGTGGGTGTCGTGACACGAACCCGTATTTCTTTAAATTGTAATGTATATTTGTTTTAGCGGAATTTGATACATCATTAAATTACGGTTACAGTAAAACACTTAGGTGTTTATTTCATTTTTACAGTCAGTTCTAAAGTTAATGTTCTCCAAATAATCAACAACAAGTGACTCAGTCAGCAGTTCCAAAATTTTCGAAACTACTGGACAAATAACTGTAAAACGCATCCCCATTTAAATTGTGGTAAGGTAGTCTAATAACCTTCCTAGATAGATCTTATTTTAAAGGTACAAAATAATTTGTATCATACTTATGGTTTCTGAACTCATTCTAATTTTTAACTTTACGCATCTAGCTTCCAAATTAATCCAAAATTGTATAATTTGTCGGAAATGATAAATGGCTATAATCAAAATTTATGGGCATACCTTCGAAAAATTTGATGACGTCATTTCGATGTATTTATATTGTGCAGAATTGCATGCTTTGCTTTCAATTTTATTAACAAAAACCATCACTTTAGCGTAACTTCTGCTTATGCAATGATTCCGTTAGGATGTAAGCAATCTCCAATATTTAATTTATAAAATGTGGAACGTCATGATTTTGGTAACTGCCTAATAAAGTAGCAAAAATTAAAACACAAAGTTATTTGTTTATATGTCCACACTCCGGTTGAAAAATATCCATTAACAGGATCCAAATTAAACAAAAAAAAACTTATATACGTATATTTAATTTGGTTCCATTTTTTTTATTTCTGGTAAAGTAGAAAAATTACGGTTTTGCCAAATTACTAACACGAACAGCTTTTAATGAATTCAAAAATTTATTGTTGGCACCCTTGATAAAAATCATACTAGTGGTTTGCATGTGCGCATATTTACGCTGTTTTTGGAGCTGTGATTAGGGTTTAATTTAATAGGTTCAAATAAAGCATATGTTCACGTGTTTAAAATTAGGACACACATATGTATATGTAATAAAACAGCAAAATCAACTCTATCTAGTCCGAAATTGAAAAACAAATAATGCGCTGAAATTTTGTTGGCGGACAACGTATACAGTGTAATTTGCTTTTAATTATTCGAAAGTTTTTACTTGTTCAGTTGGTGGAAATCATTAAAAAGTTGCTATGGCACGTATTACAGAGGAAGCTGTAAATTTATATTTTTTGTGAGTGGAAGTTTGGCGGCCGCGACATAATAACGTTCGTAATTTGTAATTAACGCCGATTAATAAATTCTCTGATAAAGCTTTGTGACCTGGATGCATCTCTTGTTATGCAGGTGCTGCAGGTTTCAGAACAATGGCGTGCTGCAGTAATGAAAATTAATAAATAATGAAATGGGGTAAGATGCGAGGGGATTGTGGAGAAATTTGATGTGGCGGAAGCTCATACATTACTGGAATTAAATTTACGATGAAATTAAAAAAGATTTTTATTAGTCTTTCATTCATAATCATAAATAATTAACGTGAAACGTATTTTTGTTTTAAAATGTGATTCCATTTTCTTTAATAATATGAAGAGTCGAGAATATATTTCCATGCTTGAGGCTTTTTGAGTTTATTTTTGTACAACATTTTACAATCATTAAGGTATTAACTAGACAAAAATGTCGGTCAATTTAATTCCAGATTTTGTAAAACGTTAAAACGTTTATTATCTAAATCTAGAAACATTCCACATTAAGATTTTATAACAAGCAGTCGAGAATTTCAGAGATTACTGGCTTAGCAAAATCGCAAACAGACAAACAAAAGGAAGACCTAAATTTTCATATTTTAGTAGCAATTAAAAATCTAGAAAACCTAATCTTAGACAATCGATAAATTGTGTCTGTTATAAATCTTCCTGAATATGGTATGTTCAGTACTAAAAACATTGAAAACTTGTTTCGTTTTGTTATATTTTATAAAAATTTCAAAAACATAGTTGTAAATTTTTCAGCACCCGTTCTAACTTCCGTAGTACCTACTGTTCCATGTTAAAACGTGGCGTTAAAAAATTAATAGCCATGTTCTGAAAAATCGGTTCCAATTAATAATCCTTGTTGGAACTCTCCTCCTTTCGTCCGTCCATCTCAATTTGAAAGCTTCCAAAATGGATATTATCCTAAAAACGGCGTCAGAACTTTATTAAACAGGGATCCGGCGTGCCCTAATATTACGCCCGTGTCGATAATTGCCTCTAACAAATTTAATAATTACAACTTTAAGTGAGAACAAAGAAGAGAAAGAACAAAGTCAAAGCATAATTGTTGTGATGACGTCACGGACGGGACCGCCGTAATTACGCAATTGAAAAAGCTCTCGTTTTGAGATGCAGCGGTTAGATTCGTCTGCGGAAAGTTTAATTGGACCGTGCCCTAATGCAAAGTTCGATTATTTACGAGTAAACTGTGTTCAATATATTGCCGAAGAAGAGCATTATTTCATAAGTTGAACGCTCATTTCGATTTTGCACTTGCCGATCGTAAATTTCGGAGAACGTCCAAACAAACTTTAGTTTTCCGTTGGCTGTTCATCATAACTTCTTATTTTAATATCCAAACTCTTAGCGAAATCCCTGTGTTAAAGTAAACTTTTCATTTCGTACCGTTGCGAAGAATATTCAAATATTATAGCCTACTTTAAAATTTAAATTAATTGGTCTATAATTCCTCATTTATTTTCAGCAAGAAACGCGAGAAAATGTAACAATAAGTGAGTTAAGTTTCGTTCCGACGACCGAGGACGATGGAAAATCCATAACATGCAGAGCTGAAAATCCCAACGTCACGGGACTCTTTCTGGAAACATCGTGGAAAATCGACGTCGTTTGTAAGTACAATTTTCAGTATGAGTTAAGGTCGGCGTCGCACGACGCACCCACTCCTATTTCTACAGAGGGCGCTTCGGTTGTTGAGGTGGAACTGCCAAAAATTGACATTTTCATAATTCAAGCAGGGTGTGAATTATAGTAAATAATATAACGTGTGGTTTAGAATTATTGGAGAAAGTTTTATTTTCACCAAAACGCTGTTGCCTAGTAAATTGGTGAAATCAAACTAACTGAAAAAATCACGAGATCGGATGATTTTTTTTTGTTAGTTTGATTGAACCAAATTGCTGAAAGGTGACAGCGTTTGAGTGTTCTAATATAAAAACTTTTCCCTGTTAATTTTAAACCACTAGTGGTTTTTTGCACGATTATTTCATGAACAAATTACACACCTTTTTAAAAATAAATTAGCATTATTTATTTATTGAAACAATTAAAATAGGTACAATTCAAAGTACCTATATGGCTTACAATTTGCCGTTCACAAATGTTTGCACAATTACTACTAGTCGATGGTGATTCTTCTTTGGAGGATTCATTTGGTGTTGAACCGCTCTTGCCATTAATTAACTTACCGTAGCGTACATTATCTAAATGTAAATATGGTTTTAAGGAACTACTAGAACTATGTTCTGTGATCTTGGTAATTCGTTCTTAACCTATTCCAGTTTTAGCCAGTTTTGATATCACCTGATCGATGCTTTTTTGTGTAATCTAATGGGACATATACAATGCATCTTTTTTAAAAGTGGCCATAGGGATTCCCATGTTCAACTTTATACTCCGTGTTAATTTATGTTTGAGTAAAGATTCAAAGTTGAAATTTTTACTGCATGTAATTTGGGTCATCTTTTGTCGAGTTTATCAAAGCTCACAATTTAAATTAAAGGATATTTCTTAAAAAAATTAAAATATTTGTGTATTTTTGCCTGTAATATTGTAGACAGATATTTACCTGACGTTTCTAAAATTTGATTACTCGTTCGATTACTGGTATTTGGGTGACCGAAATTCGTCAATATGCTGCAGAATACAATTAAAGAAAAAGTGGAAATGATCACTGATGGATGCATTAAAGGCTTATCCACAACAGAGAAATTGCGCAAAATTTTGCTGCAGCATACCCACATCGTCCTATACCCGGCAAGAGCACATTTTAAAAATTTTATGGCAGATTTATAAACACAGGTTTTCTAGATCGTGGACATCAAAACCGCAATTTCAGTGAAATTTTCTTTTATTTCCTTCATTTATGTTTGAATTTCATCATTCTGTGTCTTTTGTAAAAACTGCAATAAAGGTATTTAATGGTTTAAATTAAAATTATGCCATAAAAAATGACAAGTTAAAGTGATAAGTCAAAACCTTCTATGATGGACCAAAATTTTTTAACCAAAATAATATTAATTTTTGAAAGCACAAATTAATAATTTACAGCAAAAAGTGGCAGTGGAAATTAAAGTAGATCCCTAAGGCTATTTTCACCGAAAAGATAATTTTTGAGTTTTCACCCTCACAAAAGTTAACATAGGGTTTAAAATTTAGCATGGGAATTCCTATGGCCATTTTTAAAAAGCATGCACTGTATACACATTTACAGTGTTTGAGGATAATCATTCTGATAATTTTTTGGAGCCACCTTGTACTGTGTCAAATACAGAATTGTATTCTAACCTTCCTGTCTCTTTTACATAACTGACAGTTTCTTTTCTTAAGTATGATTTTCAACATCGTGCTCCATCTCTCCGCGTCAGTTTGTAAGCAGCAATGTGATCATTTTTTTTTTGTAGAGCAGACGGAGAATGTTCATCACGTATTTTACAAATTTTAAGTATATCCATTATATTTAGTTCCGTTGTATGGGTTTTACGCGTTTCCTCTTCGTTTGTCATTGTAACACTTTTCTCTCGTCCACTTTTTGATAAATATGATATCCGTGAATGGATGGATTTTTACATTAAATTTATTAAAATATTTTTCTTCAGTTAACTTTGTAGTTGGATTCCACAATACTTTTACAACCCCTTCTTTATATTCTGTTCTATTAGTCTTTGTCATGTTGAAAACCCATAGCTTCAAAATATTGACCAATTCAAGCTTCTAACTCGAAGTCATTTGCAGCACAAAATATTATAAACTAATTCCAAATCGAGTTTATAGATTTAATTTAATCTTTGAAATACTATTCTTTGTAATATTCTCGATTTGTTCTAAATTGGTTCTTTCGAATTCCGAAACGGTTCATCTAGCATTCATATCGCAGCCAGCGTTTAAATATAAATTGACACATCAAAAACGTCAAATTACTATTTTAGTCACAGACAGCTGTGTTATATGTGTTAACATTAATTCTTCAACCAATCACATTTCTACAATCTGGAAATTCAAAACGGAAAAACAGCAGTTTTTTCGGAATAGTAGCAAGAAGTAACTCAAGGGAATTTTTCGTATTTTACTGGCAAACAAACACAACAAATGTATTCATTAATCGCCAGTTAACTCCATTAACGAATTATACAGGGTGTTAAGGAATGGTCTGGCTAAACTTTCAGGACAGATTTTTGACAAAAAATGTTCTCAAAAGTTTTTATACCGTTTTTTACAAAAGTGCATAGTTTTCTCAAAAAATGGTTTTGAAAATAGGGGTCACACTGTTTTGGTACCGCAGAATAACGGATACGTTGTCCTTCCATTTCGCATGACCGTTGCTTGTTACATTGACAATTTAAAAGTCAAAAATGAAGTATTATATTACCCGCTCGTCAACAACACAGCAAGTTAATTAATTCCAAAGTTCCTCTTAAACATTTATTAAAAGAAAATTAAAATAACAACCTTATTTTGAAATTATGTATGAATTGTTTTGCTTTTAATAGTGTAGATTGTATTCTAGTGTTTCCCTGTAACTGGGTGTATTATCTATTGAGAATAAATTATTTTAATTTTTTTATTATTGTTATGTTTATTCTTAGTTGAAATTGGCTAATATAATAATAATATAATCGCTCACTTTTTTTTGACTGAACTTCAAAAACATAAGTATCTCTAGTGGGAATTTTCAATGTTCAAGTCACTGTTCGTGTTTCGGAAAAATTTTGAAGGCTGTGTATTCTGCGAGACCGAATTTAAAATTTGATATGCCATTTGATTTAAAAAAATCGTTTTTCAAAACCACATAATATGTCGGAAAGTAAAAACAGAAATTTTTCGAAAATATATTAAAACCGGCTCTTCCGATTTTTTTTTAACATACTCTAATCTTTTTACGTATAATTTATAATGGTCGCCCTTAAAGGACAGTTTATCAGAATCATGAAACTGTGCTTACAGAGGTACGCCTCTGTAAGTAACAGCCGAAAATATGGTGTTGTGCAAAAAATCTAAGTTGGTGACATCAGACCGAACAATGGTTGTTTATCTTCACCGAATATCTGTTTGATTGTGTTATTTTGTTCAGATATCGAACTATATAGACAAATGCATAATTTCTACTAAAATATCTCGTTTCGTGTGGATTTTTTTTTTAATTTAAACGGAATACGTTTGAATTTCATCCTGGCGCCTTCGTTATTTTTACACAAGAATTAAAGTGGGTTAAATTAGTCTGAAGGGTGATTCTTATCGGAAATTTTCTCGGAGTCACGAAACTATGCTCATTTTGGTTGTATATCCTCAAATAATGGAGAGAAATCTAATTTTTTGCAAAACACCTACATAAGCCATATCAAAACAAGCAAATATCTACTTGTCTCCTAATTTTGTTCAGATAATTATGAAGATATTTAAATACTTAAATGCTTTATTTCTAGGATAATATCTTATTTCATTTTGAAATTTTGTAAAAATACCACAATAAATACATTGAGACTTCGATTGTACTCAGGTGTCTCCACCATTGTAGGTAAAAAAAAATTGAAATTAGTCTAATTCATTTAAAAAAATTACTCTTTTCGTTAACTGGTTCCGGACAATCCAAACACTAAACTTGGTGAAATCAGTAAGAAAAGAGATCACTTAAGATTCTGGTTTAAATATGTATGTGTTTTTGTCGTTTTGTTTACATATGAAGACATTTAAAATAAAACATATTTTTTAAAGTAGATTATTGTAAGTAGAAGTTTCTAAGACATTTTAGTTAAGTATATTTATTATTATATAGTGATACAAAAAAATCAAAGTTGGTCAAATTAGTCTGAAAAGGCATTTGCTTAATGTCAATTTTCTCAAAATCACTAAACCATGCTCATCTTAGTTGTATCTCTGAAAGTAATCGAGTAAAATTTGCTGATATTCGAAAAATTACGTTGATGAAATCGAAGCCAACAAAGGTGATTTATTGTGTCTCAAAGTCTGTGCTTGCTGTGTTATTTTATTCAGATGACAAGATATTTAAACAAATGATTATTTTTCTTAAAATATGTATCTTAATTCATGCACATTTCTTTAAAAAACGCTTAAAATAAATATGTTGAAAGTTAAATTATATTCCGTTGTCTTCATCATTTTTATGAAAAAAATTGAGAAGTTAGTCTCATTAGTTTGAAAAGAATCGCTCTTTTCGTATACTTTTTCATTACACGTATCTGTGATTACTGTCGCTGTACTTTTAAAGAAATCCGTTTGAATCCAAACACTAAAATTGTTGACACAAAATTATTTCACTTTTTTAGTATAAATGAACACTTGTATTTAGTACCTTGGTCAGATATGAAAGTACTTAACGAAATTCATAATTTGTTCTGACACAGACTTTGGAAAGAAAAATCCCTCACTAATTTTTTGAATAATTACTTTTAAATTTAATTTTATCCCGGCGCCTCCACCAATTATACTCGCAAAATTAAACTTGAGTCATTATTATAAAAAAATTGGTCTAAAGAGTTTAGACAGTACTTCCCTCGCTGTCGGAAACTTGACGACTGCATGCCTATTGTGTTTTTTTTCTCATTACATTTTTGTAGTGGGAATTTAAAAAAAAATTGCGATGACGTCATCAACA